ATAAATTCTGTTTTTCCCTCGTATATGTTATTAATATTTTGCAAACCATTTTCTAATTCGATCTCATTCTTTCATTATATTCGGATTTATGTGGGTATACACGATGTTTTTAAAATGTGATACTGGCTTTTTTCTATAGCGTGAATATTAACTTACCTACGATATCAATACGCCCACTATATCTCACTTTGACTGTTGTACGTAATGTAATGGACTTTTTCGAGAAGTTCGATATTTTTCAATACATACAATACCAGCACTTTGCTAAAGTTGGAACACTATTTCAATCGGATTAACTTGAAGTATAAAATATTAAATATTTATTCAGTTGTGATATTTATACTTAATAATCATTATATTATTACATTATAAAAAAAATTTTGATATTACGATACCTTTTGCATTTCTTATCTTGTATCAATAAAAATGCACACGCTTCGTATTAAAATTAGTATAAAAGAAATATATACATTATTGAGTAATCTAACGTTGACGTATATAATTTAATTTAATAAAAATAATAATAATTAAATAATGTGTCAAAATTTAACAAAACGATAAATGAATGGGAAGCACTATAAGTATGAAAACCTTTCGCATTAATATTACAACGTCTTTTTATAACTTCAATGTTATTTTTTATAATTTTGTTATTAAAATTTTGTTATTAAAATATAAAACATAACAATATTAAATAATTCATATACACAAATATAGAGATGTCCAAACAATAAATAATTTCATAAAAAGTTAAATTGGTAATTGCACATATGTTTTGTAGTTTATTAAAGTTTCTGTACATGCGTTCCAAAATACTTTTGTGTACATTAATCGACGAATGCATTGAATTTGCGGCGTATTAAATATTTCGTGCCTATGGGAGGGTTCGTAGAAACTCATTAGCGTGCTAGGTAGCTCGCGTGTTCTGTTTAAGAGTACTGCAGTATGCACTATCACTATGTGATAGATTAGCTCTGATTATTTTATATCGTTCAGAAACTACTAATGATTCGCGAAATGATAAAAGTCATAAAAGAAGCGCAAGCAATGCAACTTGAGCGATTTAAATGGTCACGATTGAGCATCCTCAAGAATGTCTGCTATTCGAAACTTCAAACACTGTGATTGGTCGATTCCTTCGCTTTTCAACTTCTATTGCGCACATTTTCTTTATGTATCATTACCTTTAATACGAATCTTTTAAGTTTCTTCCACATGCACTAGAGTATAGGAACCTCGTGACAAGTCTAATATGGATACATCAGGTGCCTTTGCTCACCCTTATAGCTTGAACGTTTCAAAAGACGGCCCATAATAATTTTCATGATACCGCTCTTAAGCCGACCTTCGATAAACAGTAATGTTTTAGTATCGCCAAGCAGCAGCCCTCATGAACGTGTGAAATACGATCGTCTTAAAGTTTCTACGGTATCGGAGGGCCGGGGCGTTCTAAATGTCTGCAGAGTTTTAAAGAGGCGACAGTGAGGAAGTAATAAAAATTATACCGCCAGCTTAGCCCTGGAATTTGTATACGAGTAAATTACAAAATGGACAAATTATGACTCGTCTTTTATATATCATTATACCTTTTTCAATGTTCTAAAAAGAATATTTAAAAATTACAATATATATAAATTTCTTTAATAGTTTGAACATTAATAAATTCTATTATTTATTCTTGTTTTAGTTTTATAATTCTATATTCTTATTGAACAATTGTTTTTACTTATATCTTAAAATATTATTAAATATAAATATATATTATACTTTAGTTATATGTGTAAAAAATCATGTGTAATTATAAATTACAAATATAAATGTACATATTATATTTTAAGCAGTATTTATTTAAATATGTTAATTTTCTTATATTTTCTTTGATAATAACAAATTATTTTTATTTCCAAAATGATTATTAAATTGACATTAAATTTTAAAAATCTATCTTATATTAATAAAATAATAGTTTCCTTCATAATTGTCACTTTGCAATAATTCAACGTTCAACATATTTCGACTAGAATGATGCGACAAAAGGAAAATGTATTTCACAAGAGTGATCGAACTGATAGAAAAAGTTAATCTTGTTCTTCTAGCTCGTCGATTATTGCCTTGCCTGTTCGCCACGAAGAAATCTGCATCTATAAGATGAAGTAAAATAAACTTTGCACGTGAACGTTGAAACGCAGATGGTTTTTTCGCGCAGCACGCTACTTAGAAGAAGACATTCTTTATCTTTTTTCTTTCGTTTGTTTCTCATTCTCCAATCTCGGACTTGAAGCCGAAGTTCAGTATAAACCTCATCCCCCTGGTTTTCCCGATTTGTCTTCCAGGTGAAAGTCGAAAGAGCTAGCGGAAAACGAGTTCCTTTGAAATGATATATTCCTAAAGTAAATTCATTCATCTGTGCGTAAAGAGCAACCTTTGCAATTGGCTGCATCTATTGCAAGCAATTTCCCTCGAAGAACCTCGAGGCGGACGTGGTTCCTTCTTGCACTTAAAACGCGGAGTAGAGAGCGCAATTCTTCTTTTAGTGTATCTTTATTTCTCTTTTTGATCTGTACGATGGAAGAAATTTCTTAGCCATTTCAGATTCTTATATTCTTAGCAAAAGTTCAATACAGTTTCAAGAAAAAATAAAAATGATTTACAGAGAAGAAAGTATACTTATTCCTCTTAATATTCAAGTAGTTAGTGAGCATTATAAAAAAGTATATCGATATATAATCTTATTATGGTATAATCTTAATACTCTTAAAATACATACATTTAAAATTAATTATACAAGATTTCTTTTCTCATAAAATTCAAAAATAGTCGTTCAAATAGCTTCATTTTTAAAAATATCTTTATACAAGTATATTAAAAAAAAAGTTGGCTATATGCTTTATAATTAAACGTTTTAGATTTTCTTTGAGATCCACAATTTAAATCTTAAAAGCGATATTTTTAATAAAATAGTATTATTTTTAATGGAATAATAAAATGAAATATTAATACATTAATTTTAATATGCTTTCTTGTAAAATGCAACTTATAAAATTATGATATTATATCTCGTATATAGAAAACTCATAAGTTCGAATTCTATTCTAAAAGAAGAAAAGCGTGTATCAGACATGTTTTACTAGACCAGTCCTACACTAAAGGAAGGGTAAAAAACTGGAAAAGAAAGAGTATCATCGATCCTATATAAGACTGTCGATCTCGATCACTTACACTTGTAACCATTACGTTCGATCTTCAATGTCACTGTTAAAATTTGCGAGTATTGCAAGTTAACACATCAATTTTTTAATTTTAAAACACATGGTCATTTATGACGTATCAAATGTAAGTCTTGGCAAGCCTTTAAAAAAATCGTCGTGAAAATCAGTGTGATCATGATATTTTCAAACGTGAGTGTCTTTATCTATCTTCAGACTGTCGTCGCTGTGACATTGATATCTGTGAGAGCGTACGATATTAAAAGAGATGGTTCTTCCAATGCGGACGTCACTTATCGTAAACCACATCCATGGAATTTCTTTCTGAATCAACCATTTATCGACAAAACGATCGGTCTGCAAATTTCGGCCGATGTACCAGTGAGAGATCAAATTATTGGCCAACGAGCTCTTCGCGATGTATCCTTAAAAGATCGAGCCATTTATCCATTTGGCTTAACAATTTTTCATCATCAACCGATCAAACAGAATTCCTTTAAGATAACATCATTTAGAGATAAATTGTTGTACAAAGATGCAATACTAAAGAATCGACAATTGCGTGGAGAACGGGCTGTCCTCACAGACAATCCTCTCGAAGAACAATTGCTTACACCGGAGGAAATCTTCGAGGGACAAGCGTCGATATACAGTCAAGCACCGTTCAAAGAACAGTTGTTTACAACTGAAACGCCATTTAAAAACTTATTTCGCGGACAATCATCTTCGGCTGAACAAGCGTTTCAGAAGCAAAAGGCTTCTGTCGAATCTCCATCCATCAATTCGATCAAGTTTTATCAAAAAAACTCTTACATTAAACCAATTGATTTGTACGAACGATATAAAAATATACTAACTTCGTTTGACAGGAATTCTTTGATATATGGTGAGTTCATAGATGTTACACAATTTCAAAGATGATAGGAACTCTTTATCTATTCTAATGTAAATTTTTTCAAAATTTTTATACGATCTGGAATATTTTTCAGAAATTCTGAGAAGATGTATAACTTTTCTTAGAATTTTTCATATATGTGAATTCTGAAACACTTTAAAATTTCTAAGATTTTTCATTTTATAATTTCTGAAAAGATTTTATAAGATTTAATCAGAAGTTATAGAATAGGAAATCTCAAAAATCTTCCATCTCTTAAATATTTTAGAATTCAGATATGTAAAGAATTTAAAAAAAAGATGTAGACTTCTCTCAACATTTCAGAAAAGTGTTATAATTAATATTAAAAATTAAAGAAATTTTTTAAAAAGAAATTATGAAATTATGAAATTATTTAACAATTCTAAAAAATTCTTAAATTTACATAAAAATTTTGAAAAATTCTAGAATTTATATAAAAGTTCTAAAAAATTAAATGAAAAATTTTGACAAAAATTTTTACCAGAGTAACTTTACATCAGAGAATAAATTTTTCTCCGATAAGATGGATACAATTAAATTTTTTCTCTTCTGTTTTTTAATTTAACTCCCACAAATTGTTTTGTAAACAATTCGATATTGAATTTTCTATTAAATCATTAAACAATTTGTTAGCTAAAATGTTAAACAAACTTGTCCCTTCAGAATTTTAACTTGATTACACCGCGTTAATTATTGCAGAATAATTTTCAACTATCACGTTAAATCTCTACTGATTCTTGCATATAACATCAACCCTCGAACTTAAAAATAATGAATTATCCTTAGGGGACAATTTTGTTTCTCTGACACAACACACATACACACACACACACACACACACACACACACACACACACACACACATATACTTGTTCAGGATAATATCGTCACGTTGACTTGTTGATGTTTAAGGAACTTTTTTATGATAAATTGTATCTATGCTATTCGTATGATAATCATATTTTTCATAGATAATCATGCGCCTAAACTATCTTCGATGCTGATGGTTCCGTCTTCTGAGTATCTTCCGTTAAACGCTGAGACGCCCATGACGCAATCATCAATGCCTGTTATCGTACATGGGCGTAATTCTGCCATGTCTTCTGTTTCCTCCGGTATGGGCGAAGCTCATTCCTCAGAAGCTTCCAAGATGGAACTCGGTCCGAGATGGAACTCGCTAACGTCGATCAGCAACTACAATGCGGTGAGCAAAACCTATGACAGCTGATATTTCGATTTTACAAAGCGAGGTATTATATAATCAAAATTTAATCCTGTCCGTTGAATCTGATACTCAGCCGAAGGCAAACTTTATTCGTCGAAAATTTTACGTATCTATCCATTTTTGCAATGAATATAGTTGCAATTGTAAATGGAAGCCATCTCGATTCTGTCAACCATATCAAATTTTGTTATGTATATCTACTTGTAATTAGAATAACTCGCACAAAACGAATAAAATTTAAAAACATAATTTTATACTTAGTATTATACAATTCGATGCAATTTTATTTTACATGCTTACGTCAATCGTTGCAATATTGCGTAAATGTATTATAATACCAATGTAAATTTATACATTATGTTATTATTTCTGGTGTATCTTATGCATATATTTTACATTCCATTTATTATTAAAGCTATTATCAAGTTAACGATATTTGTATCAATCATCTAGGTACTGAATAAACATAAGACTAGCGAATTTTCTTATATAATTTTACATTAATAATTGCAATATTAATTATAATATACTATTGAATATTAAAGATTATAAAAAATATGATAAACAAGAGTGAACGCATTGAAAAAATATAGTACGAATCAATGGCGCGCAGAACTAATAAATGTTTGTTCTGCTTTTAGCCAGTTGACAGCTTACCAACAACCGTTCCATCAATCTCAGTTAGCACAAACCAATCCTCGATTGTAGGTCACATCTTAACAAGTTTAACAACCAAGCCCAGTTCGCCTGTCATGGCAACATCAATAGCGCCGTCCGGAAAGTACGTAATGGCTGACCGGAGCTTTATTATCCACCGCGTTGGTTACATACAGCGTAACTATGCAGTAAACTAAACTTGTAAAGTTAGTCAATTACTAAACAAGAATGTCATTCGCATACCATGGTGGACCTGAGGCGATCGCATAATATCATTGCAAAATTATGCGCAAAATTAATAATTTCAAATATATTTCAGACAATATTTATTTAGCATAATTAATTCTGTTTTGTTTAATTACTTTTTATTGCCACAGTGTGTAAATTAAAGTAGTAATAAGAAAATGAACTTAAAGTAGTGATAAGAAAGTTATATTTCTAAATAATTTATATATTCTTCAATTGAAGGACTCCATAAAAAAATGTTCCAACTATCATAAAAAGCAATTTTAATACAAAAATATTGCTTATACATTGGGGCTATACGTTTTTTTTATTTCCTGTAAAATTAAAAAGTATTGAATGCAATATTTTTTTTTTAATTATGTTTTTACTGATAATCTTTGCAAATATTCAAGTTTAAAATAAAATTTTGTTATTTTTTTACTAGCTTATTTTATTTCTCTTAATAATTTTCGTATATCTTATAGAATTGCGATGCAAAATCGAGAATATAAATAAAAACCGCATTAATTAATCTATAACATAATTATATTACATTAAAATTTGATTTCTCTTTGATTTAGCGTCCTTGAACCGATTTATTTTCATGCTACTAAACATGGAGCTATTACATATCCTCTTCCTTTGAGTGACAATAGCGACATGCACGCTCATACGTCTTCACATATGCCGAGGAGTCTCAAGATCAACGAACATAACATTAAATTCCTAGAGCCAGAAGCACTAAAGAACGTTGAAACCCAAAGCTCCACGTTAAACTACATTCTCCCCGAAGAGCACAAGACCGGACTGAAGGATATTCAGACCTCCTTAGTAGACTACACGTTGCCCGTGAAAGTTAAACACCATTGGTCTTTGCAGCAATTCTCAGAACCAGAAACATCTTCCGGCTATGCTCCGCTGTCTCTAAACTCGAAGACAAAACGCGTTTTACCGAATATACCTATCGCGCCCATTTCTTGGCCAATAGAAATTAAAAATGACGTTTCCACAATGCTGCCATTGAAATCTATATTAACGTCCAACGCGGCGACAAAAAATAAGTTATTACTAGGTATGATATGATTATGTTTTACAATTACGTTATATAAATAATAATAATCTAAAGCTTAATGTACGTGATAAGCCAAGGCTTTATTTTTTTTTAAATACAAGATAATAATAATATCAAAGATGTAATTATATTATTATTGCGACTGTTATATTTCGTTAACTGATTTTATAAATTTATCACAAGGGGAATTATTTTATAAATTTCTTCAATTTTTTTTGTAAGATCAAATATTTTAGAGAAATGTTTTAATAATTACTGTAGCCTTTTATTTATACTTTATTACAGGCACACACATAGCCTTACCTGTGGACACAGAAAGCATACCAAACAGTCTGACTTCAAATACACCCAATGGTATATCTGGAAGCATAACTGAAGGCATATCAACGAGCATACCTGATGGCATGACGACGGACATACCTGCGAGCATACCAACTTTGAACTTTGGGCAAACTTTACACGTGAAACAATTACGATCAACTCAAGAGGCAAGAAATCCATGGTATCCCACAGGTATCTTAGCATATACTCTAAGTAAGTTTTTCATCTTCGGTTTCGACCGTAACATACATTTTAACGTAACACCCTGGAATTTCTCTGAAGGTATAGTAATCTGTTAAAAGCGCTTCGGAATTTAATGGAATAGCGGAGTGATATAACGCGTTTCAATTTTGGCAAGAATTTATCTGTAAAATTCTTCAAACCTTGATACGAAAATTATGAGATGCAAATAGGAAATGTTGCACGATGCTAACTCGAGATAAATTTTACTCAACATAAAAATATATTATTACTACTGTTATTATTATCCTTTTATCGAGTTTATATATATATATATATATATATATATATATATATAATAGCAATTCGACCTGCCAATTAATGTTAAGGACTGGTTTTTTAAATAACTTTTTTTATGCACAGTGCATAATGCAATTAACGTATTTTACAGGTTTGGACGGGATAAATTACACCTTACATACGGGTAATCCCACCACGAAACTGATAGAACCTGGGATAGTGAAAACGAGTTTAACTTCGCTGAAATTAACGCAACCGCAGGATCCCGCATTTACAAAAGTGAGTTCTCAAGGCATGATTCTGCGGTACGCGATACTCATATCGCTCGAAAGCTTTCTTAATGACGTAATATTGCTTTGGTCGTTTTTATTAGCTTCGTGCTTGTCAGTTATGAGCAATCCTTTATTTCTTTTCCTATCTTGTCCTATGTATCTTCATCTTCTTATGTATCACATTTTCCTTTTTTAGCATTTTACGATTTTCTTCCATTATGTTTCACTTTGCACTAACAACATCACCGTATCATGACATCGTACATTTCCGCGAGTAAATCAAGTAAATTGCAGTTTTTGCAAATATACTTTATGCTTTCGGAATAAAGCTGCCACACCTTTCGGGCAAAAGCGTGTACTAAAAGAAAGAAATTATCAGGCCGCTTCGGAGTTTGACATTAAATTTAGCACATTCATATTTCTATATTTTTCACTGCGCAGCTACTAACTCGTTAAATGAATTTATTATTCCATTTAATTAACTAAATAATTCAATCCCCGCAAGTATAAATGTCATTTGTATTTGAGTGATCATTGTATAATTGTTGGATAGGGCAATAACTTTTTCCATATATTATATTTCATTTTAAAGAACGATTTGTCAAAGTTGAAATAATATCGCAGATTGAAATAATCTATCTAATTTTTCCAATCCATTCGAGATTTATTACACGCTATATAAATAATAGATGTATAACTTAACAATTTAACAAAAATGTTTTAAAATTTATAAATTAAAAGAACACATTTTCTATGAGTTTTAATTAACATAAAAATTAACAAGTACAATAAATGTCCATAGATATAACATTTATTTAACGAAAGCTGTGTTCAAATTTCGTTGTCATATTCATTATCATATTATTAAATGACTGGAAAAGTAAAAAGAGAAGGAAATAGTACTTATCAAATTTTTATATTAAATTCTATAAATAATAAAATAAATATTAGGAATACAATAAGGATTTTATTATGAAAATTTATTTTTATATGCATTTTTATACATATTTTCTTTTTTAATTGTTAAATTTTGTGAATGCATTGAATGTGAGCATGTAGTTCAGAATTTTATAAATGGATTATTTACAGGCAAACATATATTAAATATATTTCAATTTGGAAATTTCAATACTGTTTTCTATATAATAGATTCCTAATTATCATTTGGAAGTACGTCTGTTTGCTTCGGCAAATGCTATCGAATGTTGGAAGTTTGCTGGTGGAAGCTTATGAATATGGAATACGTATTCACGCGAAATATTAATTAATAAACTAATTTTGTTCATCATCATACACGTTCGTACCTGACAATCCTGTAGGTCTATTGATATACGTAAACTTCTAACATTTAATCAAAAGACGAAATCAATTTATTGCACTATTACATTAGAATAAATTATATTTTGTATAAATCGCGTACAAAATATTATATATTATAATAAATCGTCTGCTTAATAATGCGACCGAAAATTTCCGAATTTTTTTCTTTACTTTTATTTTATTTATCTGTCAATCATCGTTTCTGTAATATATATAAAAATAATGGAAAGTCGCAACATACTTAATATAGAGTTTAACAAATACATAAAGTGTCACATTTCACGTGACACTTTATTGCAGAATATTTTAATATTTTACAGAGTTTCCAAGAAATTAAAATATTACAACATGAATTAAAACAAAATGAAAAAAACAATTGACAATTCATATGATAAGAATATCAAATTTTGTTTAGCAACACTTAGAAGATCAAATACAGATATTTAAATAATATTGCGAGTTCCTCGGTACTACTTTCGGTATTACAAAAAATGATTGCGCTATTTCTTTGGTGCCAGGCGTTGAAATGTGTGTTCTCTTCAAGAATGAAAGTTTTCCGCTTTGTGCAAGAGCACAAATAAAATGTTCCGCGTACACTACGTTCAGGCGCAACGCCACTCGTAAATCCTTCAAAAATTTAACGCGAGATACGACCATTCCGCGTGCCGAGTGCCGCAGGTGTCGGCTCTCTTTCCGCGGGACTGTAAGGTGGAAGAAACGAAAGTAGGCAGAGAGAAATGAGGCATCTCATTCGTAGTCACCTGGGTTTCTTATTTACATTAATTACACCCGGAGAAGTTTCTATCTCGGCCAACAGAAGACAAGACGAGGCAGCGTACCGTGCGGCCCGTTACTTGTTTTGCTAAGGCGGCAATTATTTTCGCAGTCCGTAAATATGATTAATCGCGAGGGATTAAAGATAAAACAAGTCCCGACGTCGGCTGAAACAAATTGTGTTCGTTGAAATATCGACCGGCCCACGTTTACATTGTTTACCTTTACAGAGCATCCTCTGAGGAAGTGCATACAAAGAGAATTTAATTAAATTAATGGAAATTGCGTGAAACATATGCGTGAATTCCAACTTGTAGGTTTGAAATGACGCATATTTGCGGGTCGCATATAGATCGAATTACATAACATTAAATGTAATTCTATCAAAGTTTAGAAGATATTTACAGTAATCGTTATATTTCATCACGGTTTAATTAAATTTAATCACAAAATTTTATTTACATACATTAAAGTTGATGAAATTCCAAATACTTAATGCGAATAAAATTAAAAAATAATAAATCACAACGTGGTAAAAAACCAAATACACTGTAACATGACTTGTTTAAATATTTTCATAATTTATTTTATAATTTTCGTAATTTTATAACTTTCATTGTACAAAGAGTTTACATTTGATATGCTTCTCTTTGTTTTCAAATAATTGAGACTTATTGTTCTTATTATTTAGAAAAAATAATTATTAAATATCGCACTACATATAAAGGATATATAATATAATTATATATAATTTTTATATTTTTACTACATATAACTAATTTAATAGTAGATTTTTAAAATATTATTTCAGATTGGAGTTGGGTATCATCTTTAATAGCAATCTAGGACTACTATTATTTCAAACTGTTTTGATGTACATTACATTTAAAATATTACCTATTTACATTTATGAAATTTGAGTAATTACTGTAATTAGAAAAAGTAATCAAAGGCATTATATTAGAAGTGGCACATATTTTTTGTTATTATTCATAATATAATATTTAATTAGTTTTAAATATTATTCAATGTTATCTAGTGTAAAAATCTATTTTGTTGCCAGTATTTTAATGTATTATAAATGTATCAATAAAATTTATTGTTTTCTGAAACCATTGCAATTAATTTGTTTCGTGATCAGTAATATTTAAAACATTATTATTTCAATCTATTTCTTATTCTTTTTATTTCCATATGTTAAATACATTGCGTTAAAGTATAAGTTTATAATTTCTCATAATGAGGTTGAATATACCAATTTATTTGGCTTCGCGGAAACGCTATTTCAGAATTGTCGTAATAAATAAATATTTGATACCGACAAATTAAGTTTCTTCATATACAAACTAAGTAGAATTTAATACGGAAAAATTATTTTAGATTTGTCTGTTCATATACAACATTATAACGAATACCACCTGCAGTTCGTTTTTGTATCTATCTTTTATTTCACTATTTATTTATTTTCGGTTCCTCTTCCTTTTGTTCATCACACGTCCAAGTACCTCGATGCTCACACGAGTATAAACGGCCAAAACTCCGGGATACCTTTTATTCCTCAAATGTCCGTAAAAGTTGGCACCAAACGATTTCGCTGCTGATTGAATTCGCTGGCAGCCGCGACCATTGTCACTGCAGATTGCATTGAACCAAATCAATGTAGTCACACGTATTGGTGGATTCAAACTGTAATAGCTTGAAAAAAAGATGTCACATCTAGAAGGGGAAATTACCTGAATAAAGAACTGACTTCCACAAGAACATAAGTAAAAAGTAAATCAGGTGTATAACCAGCAAAATATTTTTAATGTTTGCATTAAATTCAGAAATATTTTTAATCATTAAAATTAGTGTTTTAAATTTATGCTTTTTATTAACTTTTTTATTTATATTCTCACAGAAGTGTCAATTCTTCACAAAACGCATTTAAAACATATAGTTATCTTTTTACAAATATATTTGATAACGCGGATTCCAACTTTAAAAAAGTAATTAATCATTAAATACAATTTATTATTTAAATTGAACTGAGTTTTATATTATATTTATAAATATTAAACTTTACTAAACTGAAAGTTTCACTATGTAGCGATAGCGAGTTTTATATAAGTATTCATATTCCAGTGGTGCGTTGCATTTTGAGTTCATCTCCACTCGAGTTGTCAAGCAATTACGCAGAATAATTGTGTGCCCAGTGTGTATCTCCGTTGTTTTATGATTTAGCCAGATAAATTTCACATTTATCCGCCACTTCCATTATTTTTCTAACAATGAGTCGACTGACTAGAAGTCAGTTGTAAGTTTCACACTTAATAAGCTCTGGCGAGAATAATATAGGTTTATCCCGTTTTCCATTCTAGAATTTCTCCGCGCCGTAGAGTGAATAATGTACCGTCGGCTTACGTTAGATTACTTCATTCGTGCATTTTATGGAGATAGCATGAGCGATTTAATTGCAAATTGGATCTGGGCTCTTTCGTTATTTTTCATTATTTCATCCGTAATTGAAACTGTTGCGAGTTCTTTTATGCATTTCCGAGTGCAGGATCGCGACTCATTTTAATAAGTTTAAAATATGCCGTGTCGAAATTCATTAGCGATATTATTTTACACTCATTTTATATTCATTAATAGACTCGTTATAGTAAGGACTCGTTGTGGAAACATAACTTTCATGTATGCGCATATTTATTTATCATTTAACTGTACGTTTACGTTGCTCTTTTTGAAATGCCGAGTGACCCAGAAAAAGAGATGTGATCTGAAGGTAAAAATTAGAAGATCACTTTTAATTTATACTATAATTTATTACTTTTAACAAGTGTCCTGTTCTGTGTATGTATGTTTATGTCGCATGTGAATATGTCTTCGCGTAATTTTTCACGCTCTCTTAAGTATTGCCTTCAGTATACATACAGCATTTTTTAATTTTTTTTTACGCTCTTATTTTCTCGCGATTTAAATCTCAGCAAATTAAAAGTTCTTTTCTTAAACCTATGCCCTGTATAGACCATTGGTGATAATAAATAAGAAATCCATAGGAAAACACAGCATCCGATCTCACGCATCGGCATAACACGCGCGTACGTTACGTCGTATAATATACTATGTATAATATATATCTCTGTTTTTTTAACGTTATAGCACTCCAACACTTTCATCCTCGAAAGACAGCGTGCCGATCATTTCGCAGGAAGTTTCTGTAATTCTCATTCGATTATCGGGAATCATCAG